CCATACCCACTCCAATCATTTCCCTGATGGTAGTGGTAAAGCCCATGGTGGAGCACACCAAAAGAGCTGAGCCATCTTAAAATTTCTGTTCATTTTTCAGACAGGTCAGCTGCCTCACCCAACTAACTACACATTTGGATGAGCACTCGTGCCTACACAAAGGATGCAGCAGAAATGCACAGCTTTCATCCACAGCATACAATTAGAGCAGCTACACCCATAGGGAAACTGCAACACGATAAAAACAATTACCCTGGAGTCAAATGATGCACCAAAGCTTGCTGTGCAACAAAGGCCCTAACAAAAGTGTTGAAAAGTGACACACAAACACCCACAATGTATAAACAACTAACACGGCTGCCTTGCTCTGCTGTTAAATGACCTGTTAACTCTTAAAATTCCTCAGTTGCTGTCCCCCACAGTGAGAAATCCTGAATCTTTCAGAGAGAAAAGTAAGCTATCTTACAACTCTCAAGTTTTCACAACAAAAGCAAGACAATACAAAACATTCTGAGATCTGTTGCATCCTTGGTAGACGTACCTTAAAAGCGACCTACCAGGGACTCAATTCTTACAGGGTCTTAATAGGAATCTTAATAGCGGCAATATTAGAATGAGATTAGCACTCTAAAATAAGAGCCTGCATTATCAAACCCATATTCAAGTGGTATATGCCATACATGCTGACTCTACAAAAATATATACAGGGATACTGAAATTCAAGAAAAATCACTTGAGAACACAATATAAGTGCAATAGCATTTCTAAACTCAGGTATTTGCCTGTAGCATTACAAGCATGCACAGTATGGTATTAGCTTATTTAAGAAAATGAAACATTTACTTTCACTAGCCAAACAGAAAAATGAAAGTAACTTGCAAGATAAAAATTGCACCAGATTTAACATTATTTGTACAAATTAAGTAACAGAAATAAAATATCTAGGGCTGTGAATTTCAGTCTAATAACAAAAACTTTAATAAAAATGTTTTAATAAATGCTTTCAGATGAGGACACAATCAGAAACATCATCATCTCTTGATGATAATGTAATATATATACACATATATATATATATATATATATTAAGGGAATTATTTATTAAAACCATAGGTATAATAACAGACATAATTTTGCACACAATGAAAGAGAAGCTTGAGATTAAATTCCATTCCGGTTACACAGAGCCCTTATTCCCTCCCAAAGTAAAGTCAGACATCTAATACTACATTACTGGTACTTCTATTTTTTAGCCTTTTATCCCTTCAGACCTTTCAACAAAGTTTAGGGCATTCATGACTGAGAAACTGTATCAAAACACTGCAAAACATGCCATCTTGAGACGGAAGAGTCAGTATCTCAAAGGTGGAAAAATTTTAAAAATAAATAAATAAAAGAATGATCGAGCTGACATTGTTTCTGTCTCAAAAGCTTAGGATCCTTTGGTTTGAGACAAATGAGTTTTTTGTTTAATGAAACAGGACATAGTGAAAAACTCTTCTTTTGTACGAAATGTAACTGTCATGGTGCAAATACGCTTCCACGCCAGCTTTCACATGCCTAAAATGTCAAGTGATACAAAGTTCACACAGCTTTGACAACTGTGGCAAGAAAAAATGCAGGATGGAGAGAAGCTTCAAGAACTAAGTTACCAATTACACACACACACATCCATCCCGATATCTAGGTGGGGGCAAGGTGGAAAACACATAGAAATGTTTATTAGGAAGTCTAAGGAAACTTTGTTATGAACAGAAGACTAGGAAAAGAGAAACGACCTAGTCAGCATCACCTTCCAAATATAAGCATCCAGAGTCAAGTCCAAGTTTTGAGGAAGTACATCTTCTGTCATTACATATCTATGCTGACTAAATTGGTATTTTCCTGCATTCCACAAACGAGAAATTTCTTGGAAAGAGTGAATTAACTTCTCAATAACTCTTCTTACTTCAACCTTTAAAATATCTTTTTCCTTCTTCATAACTTTTTATATTTTAACTATAGAAGAAACTCAAATCCATGCTACACTAAGACTGTACCACCAAGTCTTTATAATTTTTAAGATAAAAGAGAAAGGTTATTGATAAACTTTACCAAGCAACTCCTACCATTGTTTGAAATGGGTAAAACAGCCTCACAGCCCTACAATTAAATAAGTAAATAAGAACAGCATAATATATCAAGCACTTAGAAATTCCTAGTTGAGTTTCTTCATATTTGATTTCAAGAAAGTTCAAAAGTACTGGTATATATTCTTATGTTTTCCACAAGTTAATTGCCATCGATTTTTCCACACCATACGCATGAAAATTCCTGTGTCAATGCAACTCTTGTTACAGAAAAAAAGCAATGCTGTAAGTAAACCTTACAATAACTACAATACCTATGCTTCTTACTGTAACATTTGTTACAGAATTTTAAGAAATGTATATGGCAACAGTCTTTATTTGAGGCATTACAGATGGAAACTGTCTTCTTTTGTGTAAGTTCAAAACTTCTGAACATTATCTGTTTCAGAATTACTGGAGTTCAGAACTACTATAAGCAACCAGCAAGGAAAACCTCTTTTTGAAGAGCATCACAAACAGGGCTCAGTCTTTCTCTTAAATCGTTTTCAGAAATCCAGAGACTACGTTATACAATAGTCTACCTGCAATGAAAACAATACTAGCAACAAGTTGCTAACAGACACAGTTCAGACACCTTAATTGCTGTTTTTCTAACTACTGCAGCTCACAACATGTTCGGGGAAAAAAATCCAGGCCCCTCTCTGCTAGTCAGAGCTACATCGCTGCGAGTAACACTTCGTTTTATCACTGCTCTAACCCGAGATGAAAAGCACACACCAGGAAATTTTAAGAAAAAACAAACCAAAAATCCACCTAAGTCAAATTTGTGATGCGACCCTGGCAAGCCCTGTCACTCCCACGCACCAGATACAGTGTACAGAAAAGCTCCAAGGCACACAGCGCCCCTCACCAGCGGGGCCGGCCCGGGGGCAGCGGGAGGGCGGCCGGGCCCAGCGCGGAGCCGCTCGCTGCGGGCTCCGGCTGGAGCGCGGCGGGGCGGCCGGGCCGCGGCCATTGTGTGCGCGCGCGGGCGGCGCACAGCGCCCCCGCTCGGCCGCGCGCGACCCGGCACCCGCCGCCGCTGGCCCCGCCCCGCCCGGCGCCGCGCCGCGCGCGCGGCTGTGGCGCCCGCCCGCACCGCGTCCGTGACGTCGAGGAGCGAGCGCGGCCGGGCCCGGAGCGCGCGTTGTTATTGACCCCGCTCGGGCGGGCGGACCCCGCTCGGACCCCGGCCCGAGCCCGCCCCGGGACATTGAGAGGGGGCGCAGAGAGGAACAGAGGCTGACATAAAATTTAAAAATAATTTTTTAAAATTCCAAAGTTTTGTTGCATTTTTTTTTTCCTAAGTTCCTTTTTTTTTTTTTTTTCTTTTTTGCGGGAAATTCAATTTTTTTACCCGGCTGCTCAGGGAGAGTGAGGGAGGGGGAAAAACAACTTTGCCCGCCGCAGCGCTCTCTCCTGTTACCAGCGCCTGCTCCTCTTACCAGGTTCTCGTAGCTCCGGGGATGCTCCTTGCCCGTCCAGTCCGTGCGCTTGGGCAGCAGCTGAGGGAGGAAAGAGAGGGCGCCCCGTGAGCGGCTCCCCCTCCCCCGAGGAGCCCCCCGGCAGCGCCCGGGATGGGGCGGGGGAAGCGGGAGAGCGAGGGAAGGGGGAGGGAGGCCGCAGGCGGGGCGAGTGCCGGGTGCGCGGCGCCGCTCTTACCTCTTTCTCCGCCACTTCTCGGATCAGGACCTGCAGCAACAACAAAAGCGGGGCGTGAGAGGTTTCAAAAAGAGAGAAAATGGGAGAAGGAAGACGAGGCGGCCAGCGCGCCGCCCGATCAGCCGCCCTGCCCGGCCGCCCCCTCCCCGCCAGGCCCGGCGGCGCCATCCATCCATCCTTCCATCCATCCATCCCTCCATCCCCTACCTGAGCCGCTTGCTGGCATGGTCCGTCCTCCAAAAAGCGAGCGATGAGGAAGTAGAGCTCTGCGGGGAGAGGAGAGGCCGTCAGGGCTGGAGCTCGCCCCTTTCCCGCGGGCTTCCCTTTCTTCCCCCTGCCCGCCGCCCCTCTCCGGCTCCCCCGGCCACCACTCACCCGCTCGCAGCTCCGCCGTGTGCCGGCTGCCGCCGTCCCCGGACATGGCGAGGCGAAAACCGGGGAGGGGAGGGGGGGAAAGGGGGAGAAGGGGGGTTGCCCGGGCCGCGCTCCCGCGGCAGCGTCGGGTCCCAGCGAAATGCGCCCGCCCGGTCGCTGTCACTGCTCGTTCACCGGGGAGAGTCTCGGCTCCACCATTCAACCCACGGGCAGCAGCAGCAGCAGCAGGAGGAGGAGGAAACAACAACTCGCAGCCGCCCGCCGCCAACGCCGCCGCCGCCGCCAGCCAGCGCGAGCGAGCGCGATCCCTCCGCCCGGAGAAAGAGTCCCCTCCTCCTCCGCGCCCCCTCCTCAGCCCCCACGGCCCCGCGCGCCGCCCCTTCCCCCCGCGCCCCCCCGGTCCCGGCGCTGCCTGGCGGGAGCGGCCAGGCGGGCAAGAAGGGGGGAGCCGGGCTCCCCTGCTCCCGGCTGCCGCCCCGCTGCCGCGGCGGCCCCCGGCGCTGTCCGGCGCTGGAGGGGAGAGAGGGGCGAGCGCTACGCGTTTATTAGCGGGAAGGCGGGCGGGCTGTGGCAGAAGATGTCGGCGGGGTGGGCGGGAAGGCGGCAGGCGGGCGGCTGAAAGGCGCTTTCTCTGCGCGGTGCCGGCGCGCGGAGGGATACGACGCACGGGGAGGAGGAGGGGCTGCGGCGGCCGGGCAGCGGCGACTCGCGGCGGCGGCGCTGGAAGTTCCCGAGTTCCAGCGTCGCAAGAATGGGAAGCGAGCGAAGCCAAAATGCCCCCGGGGAGCGCGGCCCCGCTGGGGAGGCCCGGCACTTCCACACCCCCCGCTCGCCGCGGCTCCCCCGTAGCCTAGCCCGCTCCTTCGGAGCCAGCCGGGGACCTCGGGGCGCTGCCAGGGGCTTTGGCATCTGCGCGTAAGTGCCACAGTGTCACGCGTCGTTCGTTCTTATTCTTGCAACATCGTGCCCGGGCTCCTGCCGTGGGTCTGGAGCGGGGGGAAACCCCAGCCAGCCCCAAACATCCGGAAAGGCGCCTTTCCTCCCTTATTCGGCGGGGCTACCCAGGCGGCTCCGCCTGGGGGGTGAAGGGCTCGCAGGGAGCTCGCTTTGAGAACTTCCCTTTAAAAAAAAAAACAAACCAAAACACCCAAAACCGAAAACAAAACCAAAAACAACCAAAACAAGCCCCGACAGCTGATAACGATTTTATTCATTGCTCTTGCCGCCAACCAGATCAGACGTGCGGGACTGACGAGTCTCGTGCCTTCCAGGAGCCATGGGCAAGAGGAGAAGTGTTGTCAACGCGAGGACGAGCGATGGATGGAGATGCCTGCAACCTATGGCTGAACTGGAGGTAATTCACTAGCGGATCGATAACCTACCGAAGGTTCCTGAAAGGCTGCAACATTGTACGGAGCCCGGTTAGCGCTTAAATCGTTTCTTTAATGTTTGCTAGCTTGAGGGTACTGAATAAAACGTTCTGGTTTGTGCTGTGATTATTTCTTTGCTGCTTACAGTAAAAAAGAAAATAAAAATAAAGCAGATGTCCCCTGATAATTGGCTTTTAAAAAAAATCCATATCTGATGAGGGATTTAAAGGAGCATGATTGCTTGTCTTTATGTTTTGCAACGTGTTTGATTTTTAAGGTCGAGTTGGGGCCTTGCAAGAACGAATGTGTTTGTGGACAATAAGAATGAATTTAGCAGGGATCAATGTAAACAGGGGAAGCCGTCATCTTTTAATATTCCTTTAGCATCAGTTATTAACTGATACAACTTGTGAAGCAAAGAAAAAAGTATATTTGAAATTATATAGAAACTAGACAAAGAACTATTTTTTTCCTGTACATAAAATCCCCTGAATTTCTCAACTATCTAACTTTCAACAAAATTGAATTTGAACAACACTTCTGTGCAGCTGAGGGTAACATGAGTTGAGCATTTTTATACGTGTTTCCAAGGCCTGCAAGCTCAGTATAGGAGCTCGAGCTTTGTGCTTGATATGGTGAGAAAGATTTGCTGCATTCACCCTTCTGCTTTATTGAATAAATGTTACCCTGAAAGCTTAAAGAAAGGAGGCTAAAATATCACTTATTTCCATTGTCTTATTATACAAATTATATTTATCTAGTGGATGTCTAGATGCTGTGCATTTTTTACATATAATTATCACATGTCCTAAAAAATCATTAAAATTCTAATCTAGAATTTGTAATCATTAGAGTAAATTAATGTTTTAGGATAGATTTTTTTTAAGTAAAACAATATGTACTAGATTTGATCACTGTATCTGTAGCTATGATCACTATATATTTAAAAATGTACATGTATCTCCTTTTCCTCAGATTTGTAACAATAACCACTCTGTTTCAGCTTCATTTTAAATCCACACTTCAAATAATTGAAACGGAAATGAAATAATATTTAATGTCTAATAAAGATTTAAAAAATAAATTGACTTGAATCTTTTCTTAGCAATGTAAAATATGCATTGTAATATCTTTCGTAGGTGATTCTCACAACAAAGGGCTACATGAATAATGTGATTAACATTTTAATTACCCTTGATGTTTACATAAAAGAAAATATGCTTACATATGACATCACTGAAACTGTAAACCATGCAACAGAGAAATTTTAAGACAGTTAAGGAGTCTGAAAGAAGAGGAAAAACTCTCCTAGACATATTGACCCTCCTTGTTCTTTTGGCAACTCCTAAGTTTTCCTGTTCTAGTTCAAAATACAGCCTAACGAATCAAAAACTTCTTGGTGTTTTGACAGTAAAATAAAGATTGTGTCTTTTATTTAATTTTTTTAGATCACCAAGCAAAATGACATCAAAGCCCTAGACTTGAGCTCGAACACTGCAGTATTAGAAGTAATATTTAATAAACAGCTTTTATAAACATACATTCCACTTTCTTTTTACATATTAAATCCGATGGGATTTTTTTGTTTATGTGTGGCATAACATGAAAGTCACACACGATAGAAAATGCCTAATTATTATTGTTTGGTGATACATGTTCAAATGAGTCCTAAGAATTCCTACAACTGTAACAAATTTTCCATTCTTTTTTCAGAGATATTTGTAAAGGGTTTTTTTTTACTTTCAGTCAAAATTAGGATTTTTTTTGTAATGTACACAAGTGAAGAAAAATATAATCTCTGCATTTTTACTATCTTTATTGTTTTGCTTTCTAATGATCCCTTTCATGCGATCTTGAAATCTTACATTATTCTAAAATAAAATACATCAGTCCTGCTTTGTCAGCAAGATTTAATGTTTTCAGGAGAAATTACTCTGAAAGGTCTTCATTATTAAAAAAAAAGAAAAATAACAATGGAATTATTTTATTTTGTGACTTTCAAATGTTAATATTCACACACAATTGCTAAATTAACTTCACAAAAAAAAAAAAAAAAAAAGGAAGAAGAAAGTTTCATAGATCTTCCTGTTGCTGTAGATTTTACACATCACCTATGCTAAGCAATGGACTGATCCCAAGAGTTGCTGGTTTGGGATGCTTCTTTTTACCCTAATTTGGCCTTTTTTTTTTCTTTTTTTCCTTCTTCCATCCTCCTCTCCACACCCCCACCAAAAAAAAAAAAATGCTATAAGCTCTATAAGTATCCAAATTCAGATATATTAGAATTCTCTTGAATTACTGGTTACCTTGGACAGATAAGAATGTAGTATCTTTGGTTTCTTCTTGAATTTTCTGGTTTCTTTCTGCACTTTTGAGATTGGCTTGTTGGGGGGTTTGGGGTTGGGGTTTTTTGTTTGTTTTTTCACTGATATATTTTAGCCAGTGTTTTTTTGTGTCAGTATGATTTTATACCTTGTGCCCAGAAAGTACATTATTTGAACCCCAGTAGTGGCAGTACTTGACATGAAAAGCCTTTCTGTTTCTTTTGAAATTTGCTCTTCTCCTTTTCTCTAGAGACAAAGAAAAGTATTTAGGGTTTGTAAATTGTCAAGCTGAACAATGTAGCTAAATATTTGAAGCATGATATTGGCAGGGGGTGGCTGAAAGCAACATAAAGCAGTGACTAAGCTTTTCTCGGGTTTGGATGGTTGGTTGGTTGGTTACTTGAAAAGGGCTTTTTTGGTGGGTTTTTTTCCACCTTAATGAGAATTATCACCACTAGTTGCTTGTTGACTCTTCCTCTTGAAAACAACCATAAACTTTACAAGGGTGAGAAGTGTGTGACCAGTGCTTGTGAGGCCAAGCAACATTTTTTATAATTACCATTTGTGTTAACTTCATGCAGAAAGACCCACACGTGCTAAAATACAATACTACTACGAGCAAATTCCTTCTGTAATTTCAAACAATAACTTGGAGCTTAACTAAGTAGCTTCACATCAAAATTAATTTAAATACTCACTTGTTCATGCTTCTTCATGCCAAGAATAAATCCACATCTTTTCTGCACCCTGCATTGGTAACCTACCTGAACTTTCTGCTCTGAAGTTTCTAACAGAGTACTTAGCTGCTTTGTATCCTGCCCTTATCAGATATTAAATAGTGGACTGTATGAATCTATTTTTTACTTTTTTGCCATTTACCATAGTGTGCATGTCTTCCCACTCCAGTATTTTTGAAAATATTCCTTGTTAGTCCTGCCTGCTTCTCACCAATAGTGAAGAGTAGCATAGAATTAGCACCTGTATTACCCAAACCACCATCAGCACAGACAAATTAACATTTCTTAAAAAGCACACAAATAGATGAGCCTCAGACAAACGTTTTCTATCTGTTTTCCTCCTGTGCAGCTGGAAGAGTAAAGCAAAACCAAGAGACTTATGAAGACAACATTAACTTTTGTGCAAAAACAAATAATTAGCTGCAAGTCTACTATCAGGCTTTTGAAAGTAGATCTATATGTCATTTATATTTTGAGCAGTAAATGAGTCTTGCTGGAGCTCATCCAATGAACCTAAAAACCTCTTTAATATGCTGTTACCCAAATAAATATGAATTGCACCAGCCATGATATTCTTTTGGTTTCATTGTTATATCTTTGAGTACAAAAACTTCCCTTACAAAGAGAAACTAAGTATAACTATGTTATTCCTACAAAATAGAAGAATTCTACTGGTTCATGCTGGGGATTTTGTTTGGGTTTGTTTTGATTAAAAGTAAATTTATTTGTGTTCCTGTAGTTTGTATAAGACGTTCCATTAAATTTCCTGGATCACTTTGACAGTTCAACTTTCTATGCTGAATACATTCTCTAATTATCCAGAGGATATTGAGAAAATTATTAAAGTGCTGTACTTAATTGTTTGCTATTTACAGAGACTCTTGTATATTTTCCATATCTATTTTCACATCTATTCGATGTCTCCAAAGTTTACTGAGTCTTCTAAGGATTATGTAGAAGTTTTTTTAAGGGAAGCTTTGAAAAAAATAATACATGGTACATTTTAGAGGAGAGCTACTCCATAATGAAAATAGGAGCTATGTTGCTTTGTATATTGACATTTATTTGCTTAGATAATTACTACTGCAAAAATTTTGAAAATGTTTGCTGTTGCTTCACTTTGTAGTAAAGTGTTCCAATATGTTAAAGCAATTTTTCTTGAGCAGAAGAGTCTCAAAATAAGGTGTATTATTCATTTGTTTCAATGGTTTCATATTAGTGTTCTGAGTCTCAGAAGACTTACTTGAAGTCCTAAGTGACTTTTTTTTTACTCATTTTATTTAGTTTGTATATTTAACGTTTATTAACCCACAATTTAATAGTGGCCTTCAGCTACTGTTTGTCTTTCCATTTCTCTGAATGAAAATTTAGATTTCTGTTTAACCAAGTTTGAGGTCCATTTCCAATTAGGTGTTTGGATTTCATTTTTTCATTTACTGTAGTAGCCTGTTAGAAATGCAACTTTTAAAAATACAGGTGAGAGGTAATTTGCCTGATTTTTCAAAATGGTGCTGGCTATCGTAGCTTTGGTATAGACCTGGAATTTCTCTGAGTTAATACAAAAGACTGCTAAAGATTTACATCTATGTAATAACTTAAGGGATTCTGTCATATTGTTATCAGACATATAGTCTGATAAACTTGCTAATATGCAATTTAGATAAAAGAAGGAGAGGCCATAAGAAATATCAGCAAGATCTACCCAGAGAAGAGATGAGCAGAACAATGTAGGTAAAATTTCATGATGTTACATTCAAAATAATCTATTGAAGAATTATATGAGTCATTCATGTTCCATATGGGCTCCAAACCAATATAAGGGGGAGAAAAAAACCCTCTATTTGATATCCAGTAGTAAATCTTTTTAAAAGACCATTCTGTTTATTACATATTCAACATTGAGAATATAGTAATTCTTTTTCTAGAACTCTAATATGAAGTCAGTAAAACAAAACAATAACACACCTTCTGTTGCAATACTGCATTAAGTCTTTCACCTTATCTAAAAAAATTAGAGTTCAGGAGGAAATTAGGATCAAGGAAAAATACTCTAGGAATAGGACTAAAGACCAAGGGAAAGAAATAAAATACATAAAGGAAGTAATATTTAATCAGTGCATACAAAATTTCTCTGTTTCAGAGAAGATAAAACAAGGCCCTCTATAAACTCTAGGTCATAGTTCAAAAATTGAAACACTTGAAAGATTTCAAATTAAAAACTGTGTTTTTCCTCATAACAAAATATAGCCATTCTGGCTTCACTTTTGCATCAGAAGTCTCAATGGCAAGGATATAGCAGTCTTTAGAAGAACTGATATTCTATAGGTAGGAACAGCCAGTGATACACAATTGTAAAGACAGATAGTCTGATCCAACACAGCCTCACTCTGCTGCCAGCCTAAAGACAATTCTTAGGTTTTCCCAAGTGTTTCCTTCTACTGTTGTTTTAGTTTAGACCTACCAAGTATTTTTATTTCTATGCAGTTGAAATATCTACTTTCCCCAAAATAGCAATGATGTAGAGTGAGTCGTACCAATATTTGCACTTACAGTAAAAATTCAGGGCTGTTAGCATTGAGCCATTTGGCTGACAGTGCCTACTTTGTGTAGCATATGTGATTTGTCAGTCATCCATGAAATACACATCACTGAGATTCCGATCTCCATTTATTGCTCAGTCTTCTGAGAAAATACTGGTCTGCTGATCCAGATTTCTCAACATTTTGTATTCTTGTATAGCATCTACTTAGTGCTTTGAAATGATTATTTTATATTTTCAGTTTGCCCAGCTGTGGTGAGCCACATAGGCATGGTGTACTAATTGAGATACGAATTGTGTAAGATAACTGCTGATTTAAAATAATTGAACCAAGCTCTTGATTGTAGAGTACCAGGGACAGGAAGTGTGATCAGACCACAAATGATCCCTGCATATATGTGACGCTGGTTGCATTTTTTGTTTGCTTCCCTATTTTTAAACTAATACTAATATAAGATGAAAACTGGCACATATGACTCCCTTT